CTACACAGAAGAAGAAGCGGCGATCTGTTTATCTCCAGAGGTCGTGGAGTTGCTCAGAAGTGACACTGAGGATGAAGAATTGAATGGATTTAGTGATTTGGAGTGAGATGGAGAGTTTGTTAAACTTGTTCTGTTCTGTTGTTTATGTTATAGTTTATCTGAAGAACTGTTCATATGTGATATTAACAGTCTGTTGTTCTCTGTTCTATTGTTTTTACTATAACTTGCTTTTTAAGATGAAATGTCGGTTCCTGGTCTCTTTATTTTATAAAATAAATTTCCCCAAAAAAGTGAGACTTATAGTCCAGTGCGACTTATATATGTTTTTTCTTCTTCGTTACACATTTTTGGCTGGTGTGACTTATACATTGGAGCGACTTATAGTCCGAAAAATACCGTAATACATAGTTTTTAGTGAATATAACATTTTCAAAAACAATAAAAGGTAACATGGTGATCTAAATATGTTATGTGTTAGCAGTTGATGCCCCTCTGAAGTGTATATAAAATTCACAATATATGAATATTCACAATAAAGCTGTATTTTGGTTTCTTTAGACTGAGTTTCTTTTGCTCAAATAACAACTTAAGAATGAGAAAAATGTATATGTTTTGTATTCCACATGCAAGAATTTTTATTGTACGAGTTATTGTACGAGTCTCAAAGTTCAGTGTTGTAAACGTAATGTGAGCTCCTATCAGCTGATTCAAATCACTCACCCACGTCTCTTGACCTGTTTGTCTGCTTGTGTCAGCAAAGTCAAGTCATAACTGAATGAATAAAACAGAACAGAAACAAACACCTTTTAATATTAGTTTTGTATTTCACATTTTACATGCAGCATCTGTTTAATGATGGAAAAGAGTCAGCCCTGATTTCTCCTACACTGTCAGAGGAGTAAAGCAGTGTAAAGGTCGTCACACACTACAGGAGAATTTGCCTGAGTTTGACTGTGATTTGCTTCTCCTCGAGTTCAGGGAGGCATGACACGACTTTGTGTCTTCGATTTTGAAGCTGCTGTGTCAGTGTGACCCTGAGCTACTCTGCCAGATCATAACCACCAAACATCAGCAACGCTACGGCAACAGCCAATAAAACAGCATCGGGGCAGAGAAGTGATGGACATATAGCAAAAATAGTGAGAAGACTTTATTACTCACCTCTCGTAAAGTGGTAAATTTAAAGTGAAGCTTCTCATCCACATGATCCATAGAAACTGTCCTTTGCAAATAATGACCCCCAGTCCACAAAACCGTGCTATTAATCCAGTTTGAGTTGTTCTTTAAAAGTAAAAAGGCAAGAGTAGTTCCTCACGTGTGTCTGTTTACATCAAGGTAAAGCTGCACATTAGCGATAGTGACTCTACTTCCTGTGCACTTTATCTCCAATCCTTTATGCCTTAAAACCATAAGTTTTGCACCATGTTTCAGTTTGACTTGTATCTAAACTAGAAGCGGTGTGCTCTGATCTTTTGAACACTTAAGAGTCTCAAAGTGAGTGGCTTTTACTGTAGACATAAAACAGCATATGCGATCACACATCTTTATATCCTGTGGTCTGCAGACATTTCCCACTGCAGTCTTTACGATCAGAGATTTTAAGTCTCATAAGATTCTCCTCGTGTCTATGGTGTGTGCTTTTTGCCGCATGTTTAAAAATTGTTTAAGACCTAAAAATCCTGTAGTGTGTCCTCTTGAGTTGAGATGTATTTTAGTGATACGCACTTTAAAAATACAGTGGAGCAGCATCTGGTTTATGATTTAAAAGAGTCAAAGTAATTCAGATTCCTTGATTTCTGAGCATACAAAACCTTAGAGTGTCTATCTGTATCCTTACGATGTGCACGGAGGATTGAAGGGGTGTGCCTTCAGATGCATTTTAGTGATATGAACTTTAAAAATCCAGTGGAGCATCGTCTTTTTAATGATGGAAAAGAGTCTAAGTAATTCAGCCCTGATTTTTGAGCTTACAATACCTTAGAGTGTCTATCTGTACCCTGATTATGTGCACTGAGGACTGAAGCAGTGTGATTTCAGATGCATTTTAGTGATATGAACTTTAAAAACACAGTGGAGCATCATCTGTTTAATGATGGAAAAGAGTCTAAGTAATTCAGCTCTGATTTCTGAGTACACAAAACCCTATAGTGTCCTTGTGTACTCTTATTGTGTGCACGGAGGAGTGATGCACGATAAGTTGAGATGCATTTTAGTGATATGAACTTTAAAAACGCAGTGGAGCATCATCTGTTTAATGATGGAAAAGAGTAATTCAGCATACAAAACCCTACAGTGTCTATCTGCACCTTTACTGAGTGCACGGAGGAGTGAAGCAGCGTAAGTCGAGATGCATTTTAGTGATATAAACTTTAAAAATACAGTGGAGCATTTTGTGGCTTACCCCCTGATGACATCACAGGGGGAAACCAGGCATTTTGAGCTCTAGATAAGGTGATTATGTGACAATGTAGGATTCCTCAAGGCTAAAAAAAAGATATAACAAAGCTCAAACAAGTTGAAAATTGTAGGACGTTTAACGGTGCACTCTTAACTTTTCTTAAAATGTCCCACAGTATGTCTTTAAAGTGATCTATCTCCATGGAGATGCAGGTTTGTCTTTAAGTTTTAAAATTTTTTATTTTTTTTCATTTACCATAACTGAAATGATTGAGTGTAAAACATCATAGTAATATTGAAACCAAAATAAATTCTATTCTGGGCAAAGCAGTTAGGACTCCAAGCTCTAAAAGTTACACAGTGCACTTTTTTTTTTTTACTTCAGTAGAAATAGAAGCAGCAGTAGCGGCCATGTTTATCCTGTATCTTTATAGCTGTCGTCCAAAGTCCACATTCTTCATTTCCCTCGCACCTATCCCTTCACAAAGCGTCACGTACTTCATTAACTCAGTATTCTCTTTGCTCTCCGCTGCTCCAGACGACATTCTCCCACTCACAGCTTTGATCAGAACTGCTTCTATTGACTTTTTTATCTCTGTGGGCTTTGGCGCGTGACCGGTTTGGACTATTTACGCCAAGATCTTGTTTGGACCGACTTGCGAGAACATTTCCAAAATCCGAGCCCGTCCGATGGGAGCATGGGCGCTAACTGGAGTACGAACATGGTCTATATGTTTTTCAGTCGAGATGGAGATGCGTCGAGGAAGGAGCGCAAAAGATGTGAAGTGGACAAAGACTCTCTTTGTGTGCCTCTTTCTGTAGGTTTCTATATGTCTCTGAGGTTTATATAAAAGGATTGTTCTAATATAGATATTGCCACGATACTCAAATTTCATTACGATGGAATAAACTTGATACGCAATACCGATTCCGATACCACGATGATAATAAACACTCTTTCTTTAGACAATAGAAAGTGATTTTCAACATTAAATCGTAGTACTTTGTTGTATTTTCCCCTGTGGTCTTATATCTGAGTAATATCTCAGTCATCTGCACTGCAAAAAACAAAATCTAGTCAAGTTAAGATGACTTGAATTAAGAAAGTTTGATCATGATTTGTGTACATTTCACTTGACAAGTAAAATGATCTGCCAGTGGAACAAGACTTTTGGTACATAAAATATGAAAATGCATCTTGTTACAATTAAAAGAAGAAAAACAACTTTGTGCACTTAAAATAAGAAACAAAAACAAATGTTGCTTGAATTAAGAAAAACACAATTATTCTATTGGTAGATCATTTTACTTGTCAAGTTGAAACGACTCAAATAAAATCAAATGGTCTTAATTTAAGTCATTTTAACTTACCTAGATATTGTTTTTTTCCAGTGCAGGTAGGTTCCATAGTGGTCCATGGTCCATGATAAAGTAAAAGTAGTAAAGTACTGTACATTTTAGGTATATGTACTTTATTTAAGTGGATACCTTTTACTTTTAGTTCACTGTATTTGAGAGAAGGTATCTCTACTTTCTACTCCACTACATTTTTGAACAGGACTGAAAAGTAAAAGTACTATTTATTATTGTCTGAAACCTGCTGAAAAGTCAGAGGGGTTATTTTAAAATGTAATATTCATAATTTGAGCAAACAAATATACAAAGAAAAATGACTAGAACAAAACTATCAATTTTTTTTTTCTTTTGAACAAAATTCAGCAGATTGTTTATCAAAATCACCACACTGAAGACCTCAACATCTGCATGAAATACTTTTACTTTTTTTGTGGCCATACCAGCTTGTCAAAGCCTGATCCCGTCAGATCTCAGAAGCTCAGCAGGACTGGGCCTGGTTAGTACTTGGATGGGAAACTGCTGGGAATTCCAGGTGCCACAGTGGGGCGCCAGTTGCAAAAACTGTTGTTGTGTCCTTAGGCAAGACACTTCACCCACATTGTCTAGAGTGAAAGTGGTGTGTGTGTGAGTGATGGTGGTGGTCGGAGGGGCCAAAGGCACAGATTGGCAGCCTCGCTTCCTTCAGCCTTCCCCAGAGCTGTGTTGAGTGAATGAATAATGAATTGCAAAGTGCTTTGGGTATCTTGAAAGACACTGTATAAATGCAATGATTAATTAATTAATTAATTAATTTTACTCTTTAAGTACATCAGAAAACAGGAACTGTAATATTTTTACTTAAATTGTTTTTTTCATGTGATACTTTTACTTTTCTTCAGTATTTTTTTGCCCCCACATCTGTTCTTGCTACTTAAAGGTGCTCTGTGTAACTTTTCTGGTAGAGGACCTGCCATCTGCTTGTCTCATGGTGATGCCTTTGTATAACACAGTGGAGAACTTCTTCCACCTCTTGTCCATGGACGTATACTAGTCTATATGCTCATACTTGTTCTAATACAGCTCAAGATCATTCTACAACTATTCAGGAAAGCTTCATTTCTGAGCGTGAATGTGACTTTTTTAGTATCGATACCTGCTCAAATGTGTTTCCGGTTTTGATACTAGTTTCATTATCGATTAGTATCTGCTTTTCGATACTTTTCATAACCCGATTCTAATATAAGTTTTGTGTTATTTTGTTTTTCCAGGCGGGGAGCCCAACTTCAGTGAACGCTCCGTGCAGCTTCTCGAGAACGTCTGTGTCACCATCCAGTCAGGACATCTGCAGGTAAAGACCACGCAAACATTCTAAAGCTTTAATATGTAGAATCTGGTAGCACGTAACGATAGATAATATGGCTTAGAACGACAGTATGTATTAGTTTGGTTGAATTATAGTTGGCTGTTGTTGTGTCCCTGAGCTAGACACTTGGTAGAGGCCACAATCTCCAAATATTTACGATCAAGAAACAGAACGATCAGTTTAAAGTGGGACTATGTGAGTTTTCTGGTGGAGGATCAGCCAACTGCTCGTGTCCATGGAGATGTTCTTGCTTTTCCTGTTATGTTCCAGAATAAGGCATTGTAGCTTTTAGCATTTATTCAATTACAGGTGATTTTATTGCTGAAAATACCATTAAAAAAACAAAAAAACATGCATTCCTACTTTAAGCAAGGCCGCCTCTCCACAGATCTGACCTGCAACTTGACCTGATTGCACTACCTGCTTGTCTAATGTCTACAGAGAGATAGTCAGGTGTAATGCCATGCTGTGGAACATTCGTAACACTCTGAATGTTCCACAGCACGGCATAAAACGTTGCAATCTCCATGGAAACAAGCAGATGTAAACCAAGTATTCCTTTGGCAATAATGTTTTTTATATTGGTTATATTGGTTTTATTGGAAAGCACTTTGGCCACCTTTGAGTGTTGTAAAGGGCTCTGTAAATAAAGTTGGATTGATTGATAACAGCTGAATAAATAAAGGAGGATTAACTTTATAGCATACTGTGGAACATTCCTAGTAACACTGTATAACATTTCGTGAGACGAGCAGGTGCTGAATCCTCCACCAGAAAAGTAAAAAATAATCTTACCAATTTTGTCTGTATCTTTGGCTTTGAACAAAATCATTTATAGACTATTGGTCATACACAGACTGTAAAGTGAATGTGATGAAATGTCACGTATTGGTGCTTTACTTTTGGATAACCTATGCCTCGACATAATTACGTGGCTTCAAGGTTCAAGGTTCCTCTGCACTTAAAGATCCTCTATTACGCATTTAAATCATGTTATAATGTTTTTACCTCCTCAAAACTTACCTAGAGTTGTGTTTTGTTTCATTCACACGTGTCTGAATAATCCTGCCTTATCAGTTTGTTTACATTTCCAAAGCTCAAAATGCTCTGTTCCAACTTGTGATGTCATGAAGCGGTAATTTTCAAGTTAACAGCTACTCTTTGCGTTATTTCAGTAGAGCTTGCCAATTCCAGGGTTGAATGATTCTTGGATGGAAGACCACTTGGAAAATCAGGTGCAATAGGTGGGCTACAGTCGTTGTGTCCTTAGGCAAGGCAATTCTAGCCAGGCTGGAGCCACCTAGTGTCTCCGCTAAATTTCATTTCTCTTCAGCGACTAGGTCAGAAATGGGAATACACTAGACGGTTTGCAAGAACCCCGGAAGTGCAAGTTTGGGCAGATCAACGAAGAGCCAGACATTCTGTGTTGTCAACGATTCGTGAGATCGAGGATTTAAAGCCGGAATAAAGAGAATGTTTGGTGAATTTTATCGAGGGGAAAGACATTATTTCCCTTCTTCTTATGGGATTTGTGAAAAGCTTAATATACCATTTAGCCCCATTAGCGGAGCATTACATATGTCACGACCAAATAGCAGTGACTGGTTAAATGAAAAAAGTACCCGCCTACCATCGAGCAAACGAATCCTAATGCTGCGAGGTCAGACGGTTTCTATGAAGTGAAACCGACTGATGAATCAGGCTAAGGCACTTCACCCATATTGCTTAATATGAAAGTGGTGTGCACGTGAGTGATGGTGGTGGTTCGGAGGGGGCAATGGCACAGATTGGCAGCCTCGCTTCCATCAGTCTGCCCCAGGGATACAATAGTACCTCCCCACCACCGGGTCTGGAGTGAATGAATAATGCTGTGTAAAGCGTCTTTGAGTGTCCAAAAAGCGCTTTATAAAACACTGATGCATTATTATTTATTATTAGTGAAGGTGTATGGAGTTTCAAAACACAGTGGAGCACTTCTTGTATTACAACATGACATCACAAGGTGGAACAGAATGTATTCAGTTTGAGAGAAGAACCTAAATCTGCAGGGTTTGTGTGTTAAACATGTGTGAATGAAACAAAACACAACTCCAGGTCTGTTTGTGGTGAGGAAACAACATTCTAACATAGATGAGAAAATAGCGTAATATAGGCAGTTTAAGTTTTTCTATCTCGAGCGTGAGAAGAAGTGTGTTGGTCATGTCTTCAGTTGTTTTATGGTGTGTTGTAGTCAAGGTGGCAGAGCTGCTGTCGCCTTCAGCCTTTTGCTGTAAAATAGTGGAATGGATGGAATGTTTAGGTAGTTTGAGCTTCAGAATTCCCCTGTGTTTCTGTACAAAAAAGTCCCTTAAATGTGCACTGTGTAACTTTTCTGGTGGAGGTTCTATCACGTACTTGTTTCTATGGATACATTCTATGGCCCTCTACCAGAAAAGTTACACAATGCACCTTTAAAGTGCATGTGGCAGGTTTTGATGATTCTCTAATTTCTATTTTATCTGGTTGTATAAAAGATGTTGTAAATATAAATTATAGTTTTACACTAAAGAAACAATTTGAGAAGAAAAGTTTAAAAATATGTTGTAAATTACAAGAATTCTATTTTAGACAGTCCCGTACTGGGGAGAATTATATCCAAAAGTTCAGTGCAATTTACAATTATATCCAAAAGTTCAGTGCAATTTACAATTATATCCAAAAGATCAGTGCAAGAAACACATTTTTTCAGATATTTTAACAGATTTCAACAAAATAAAGTTTTCTTAGTGTTTGATTTGTCAAATAATAATCCCTGTGTATGACATAGTTGGTAGGTTTAGAAAATTTGAAACCTAAAAAATGTCTGGGAGGAAAAAAACACTTTTCACATCACTTTTTTGTAAAATCTTAAATAACTTAAAGGTGCACTGTGTAACGTTTTGGTTGGGGGTTCATCACCTGCATGTTTCTATGGATACATCATTGCTCTGCCTGGAATCTTCCACAATATAACATTAAAAGTATGAGAAAAAAAATTTGATGGGCCCTCTACCAGAAAAGGTACACAATGCAACCTTTAAATTGTGTATGGCAGGTTTTGATAGTTCTCCAATTTCTATTTAATCTTGTCCTATAAAAGCTGTTGTAAATATAAATTATAGGTTTACACTAACCAGGAAGCAATCTCTCAAGAAAGTTTTAAAAATATGTTGTACATTACAGGAATTCTATTTTAGACTGTCCCACACTGGGGAGAATTATATCCAAAAGTTCAGCTAAATTTTTCAAATACTTTAAACCAATTTAAAGTTTTCTTAATGTTTGATTTGTCAAATAATAATCCCTGTGTATGACATAGTTGGTAGGTATAGAAAATATGAAACCTAAAAAATGTCTGGAAGGAAAAAAACACTTTTCACATCACTTTTTTGTAAAATCTTAAATAATGTAAAGGTGCACTGTGTAACTTTTTGGTTGGGGGTTCATCACCTGCATGTTTCTATGGATACATCATTGATCTGCCTGGAATGTTCCACAGTATGACATTAACAATACGACAAAAAAAAAAAAAAAAAAAAACATTTGACAGGCCCTATACCAGAAAAGTTATACAATGCAGGTTTAAAGTGCGTATGGCAGGTTTTGTTAGTTCTCCAATTTGTATTTAATCTGGTCCTATAAAAGCTGTTGTAAATATAAATTATAGGTTTACAAAAAAAACAAGAAGTCCCACACTGGGGAGAAATATATCCAAAAGTTCAGCCCAATTTACACACAAGAAACACATTTTTTTTCTGATACTTTAAACTGATTTCAACAAAATTAAAGGTGTTTTTTAATTTTTTTATTTGTCAAATAATAATCCCTGTGTACATTAGAGGGTTTTGGACCAGTGTATGACATGGTTACGAGGTAAAGGTTATAGAATTCCCTAGTGTGATGTATTGATTTCCAACCAGGATGTGAAATTTGAAACCTAAAAAATGTCTGGGAGGGGAAAAAAAATCTCAAATATCTTAAAAGTGCATTGTATTACTTTTCCGGTGGGGCATCCATATGTCATTGCTCTGCCTGGAATGTTCCACAGTATGACATTAAACAGCTCTACTTTATATTTATTCAATTCCGTTTGGTTTTATAGCTCAAAAAGTACCTAGAAAAATAGACATTCTGACTGTGAGCGGGGTCGCCTCTCCACAGATCTGACCTGTAACTTGGCCTGGTTTGGTCTTCATGACTGACCCTCCCGCCAGAAAAGTTACACAATGCACCTTTAAATAATTTGTTGTTGTGTGAGTAGTCTAACCTGTCATATGCACTTTCAAACCCAAAATGTGTAATCATATTTTCAACTGCATGACGTCATTTCTTTTTCATCTCTCTTTTTGTTCTTTCCTTCCACTTTCCTACAAATGATCCTCAATTTTCCTTTTCCATCCTTGTGTCTTCCCACATAAACATAACAATACACAAACATTAGCAGTGAGGATAGCCAGGATGTCCCCAAGCAGACAGCTGTAGTTCTCGTAAACGGAAAATCTCACGAACCAGGATCTACCGCGACCATGTGCGTAGACATTCCGAACAATAAAGCATCAAAACACCACGACTGGCTTTCCTTACTCCGACCATCCGCCGTGAACATCCGACCTCAGAGCTCCCTTCGGTTTTCCATGTCTCTGAACGATGTCGGACAACGCGTGGACAGCCTTTGCCGAGGACTGAACTTCATCGACCGAACCTACTCCGACGGACAACTTGAAGCTAAATCCGACCCATCACCAGCCAGCGAAAAAGTCCAAAACGGAAAACTACCGACTGGAAATCCAAACGCATCCTTCTTAGTCCCGTCTCTCACTAACAATTACAAATACATGCTCGCTGTACCTCAGCCTAGCGCTTTACCCGTCGCCCAAAACCCAACGCCCACCCTTCACCCTAATCTTTCCTCAAACTCCTCCAACTTCCTTCGCCGATTCCTTCCCTTTTCACGATCCTGTACCTCGGCGAGTCTCCAGTGTTCTGAACTCGGAAGCTACACGTCTCATCTCCACATCGCCAAATCGTCCAGCACTCTCCTCGAAAGCAACGAACCCAGCTTAGTCCACGACGACGTCTCCGGGGACGACGACGTGTTCGAGGAAGACCGGAAAGTTCAGAAACCGAAGCAGCTGGAAGTACCGAAAGCAGCATCGGGCAACGTCAGCGCTCCGATGTGCTACATGGATGAAGACGCGGATTTGGACGGGTGCCCTACGCCCTTGTCCGAAAAAGCAGAGCCTCTTTCGCCGTTCTCTCTCTCGGGGGACTGCTGCAGGTGGGTGGATATAGATGTCAGAGTAGATAGATGGTGTAGTCCCCGCCCGCCCTGATTGTGCTGCAATAGAATCCCAAACTAACCCTGTGTTGAGTTTTTCACGGTGAAATAACACAACATTTAGTTAGGGGTAGGAATGGTACAACATCTCGCAAGACAAAATTACCACAAGACAAATATATAACAGTTTATTAGACATAAAGGGTCACGTGTTGGTGAGTTACAATTCTTACAGTTCTAAAAAGCAAACAACAATCTTATATCAAATAATGTGAGGCCAAAATTGGTAACAGAATTTATGTATTAGGAATTCTGTTAAAATCTCATCTTTTATTTCTCATGGACCTAATCTTGTGTCTCTTCTCGTCTTGTGGAAAACGGCTCTATTCACACTTACGTCACAAACCAGGAAGGCATTTGGAAACTTCCCAGGCCCAGTTTTCTTCATCCCCATGTCATTGCAGAATTCCGTTATGTTCGGCTAATCAACGATTCCAACCATATCTCAGTTTTCATCATTTCCACTGACGCACAACTCTGAGCCCTCTGGGTACATGATGTGATTAGAAGAGATGAGGCACCAAATTCAAGATGATTCCAAACTGCATTTTACCGCTGATCACATTTACTTCAATGGGTTTGATCACAGTTGGTTACAGTAGATCCATGTTAGGCGAGTCCACTCTCGGTAACTACATCGGAAGTTGTAATCGCATCTTTCCAACCATCTTCTTGGTTTGTAATGTAAGTGTGAATAGAGCCTATTGTGTCTGGTCCCATCCTTAGTTACGGGACTTTCTGACCTGATTTTTGTTCTGGTGTTGATTGATCTGAGAGAAGTTGATCCATGTTCTATACAGTTGCAGTAACCTGTCCCTGACACACAGCATGAAAAGAAGAAATATTTATGTCCAGTTGATAGTAGTAATTGCTTAAAAAACACTATTATAGGGTCTTTACGCTTTGTTATCTTGTAAAATTCTGTTAAGGCATCTTTAGTTAATGTAGTCAGCAAAACACAAAATACAATGCATGCAGTGTTAAGGGTTGAAGGTTGCAGGATAACTTTCTAGATGTGGCATGTCACCTGCATGATTCCATGGAAATAGAAAGTTAAAACCATACTTTGGAACATTCTCCATTTAGATAAATATGTTTTATGCCATACTGTGGAAGATAGTAACTAGGCTACGTTCACACTGCAGCCTGAAATGACTCAAATCCGATTTTTTTTCTCCCCTATGTGACCTGTATCTGATCTTTTAATAACACTCTGAACGACACAGATCAGATTTTTTCAAATGCGACCCAGACCACTTGGATATGTGCTCCTAAAACCGATACATATCCGATCTTTTGACATGCGACTTCAGTCTGAACGGCCAGGTCGCATTCATCCCATCTGCACGTCACAAATGTACACAAACGCTCTTCTAGTCATACAAAAAATTTGTATGAACTCCTTGTGAGTGAAGCAGTGAAGCACATGGCAATCCCACCACTCTTGTCTCCGACTCTGCACCCACATGTTCCTTTCTACGGACGTTGCTGCCACTGCCCCACAAAACACCAGGGTCAGAAACCTCGTCCTTCTTCTTCTCAATCTCATCCTTAAAACAAATAAGTTGTACATGTTCTGGCTCCGGTACGACAGCAACTTTAAAATCTCCAGGTGCTCATTGCTCGCGTCCATGTTTAGGGGACTTCCATAAACACTGAGCATGCTCGCTGTGTGTGATGTCATCCTGTCTTCTAATGTGCATGCGGGACACTTTTGGGGCATTTAAAGTTCACACTGGAGATCACATACAAGTCACATTTAATTGTAAATGTGAACGACCTCGCAAAAAAATCCAAGCATTGCGCATTAAGGCCTGCAGTCTGAACATAGCCTAAAGGAACAACATTTGAGATGCAATCCCACTCACATTAAGGTCTATTTTTTGCCTAAAACGTTACAAACTTTGTCATTTGTTACATTTGCTGACTGCTAAAACCAAAACATTATAGTGACAATAAAAACTATTATAAAGGCTTCACCAAAACTAGTTAGTGTTTACTTACTGTTGCTAAAAAAACTGATTATAATTCAATTAAATCCATTCAGTTTTTGATCTTAGTTGAACTTAGTCTATATCACAAGTCTGTTAGGAGTAGTTAAGTTACACACACCCACACACACGTTCACACACCTCATCACTTCACTTTGCTTCTTTCCGTTAACTTTCACTTATCTCCAAGGCTCCTTCTGTTTTCCTTTCTTCAAACTGTATTTCAAAGTCTAATATTTCACTGTCTGCGATCGATGAAATGCTAAGCTGGTTTTACACGGGGGCAAAGATAACGCATCGATTTTACCCAAGAACAAGTTTAACGATAAAAGCTTCAAGATCGAAAGAAGTGATAGACCCAAGCGAGAAAAATTAGCCCAGACTCGTGATTCTTCTGCATGTGTATGTGTATGACTGATTGACAGTTTGGAAAGTGGCTATAGTGAGTACGGGCTTCTGACTGAATACTTAAACGCAGTAGCTCAGGTTTGCTCTGTTACACGTCTCTTTAGAAAAGCCCCGGGGTATTTTTCAGCTTGGCTCAGCGTCCATTGCCAGTAAACATGAATGCTGTCAGCACTCCAGAAGTAAAGGCTGGAGTTGGTGAAAAGTTTTGGAATAATTCTCAAAAAATTGTCTATGGAGATGTTATTGCTAAGTCTGGAAAGTACAGCAATATGGCATTAAAGGTGCTATCTTACACAAAATTGAGTCTTGTGAGCTTTATGCCACGTTAGACTGTTCTTGCATCATCAAAAAAATGCCTGGAGTTGTATTTTGTTTCATTCACACGTTTGACTAACTTTTATTATTAGTCTGTTTACATCTTCAAAGCTCAAAATGCTCTGTTCCAGTGATGTAGAGGGGATTTTTTAAGTGGGGATATGCGATTTGTGACTTCAATTGATGTGATGAATCCTGCCCACTGAACCCCCACCTCCCATCCACCTCCACCCCAAAAGCCATATACTCAACTTGACATGACGAAATACACACAGGTGTCATATAGATTATTTGTGGCGTCAGCTCAGTAAAAATCAGTACTTTGTGATGTATTTTTTTTACTCAAAATGATGCGGAATCATGTTATTAACATTAACACTGTTCATAATCACCTACAGAACAGAAATCACTGACTACAACACATAAACCAGGACTAAACTAGGACTGAACCAGGACTAAACCAGAACTAAACCAGGATTGAACCAGGACTGAACCAGGTCTAAACCAGGACTGAACCAGGACTGAGTGTCAGGTGACCGCCGGTGAAAGGGCCGATGCAGAGCTCCATACCCTCACAGGGCAGCTGTTGCCTGATTGCACTTTGCTAACACCCTGCTCTGCTTGGGGTTCTCTCTCTCGCTCTCAAGTCCAAGATTAGTTCTGGTTTAGTCCTGGTTTAGTCCTTGTTTAGTACTGGTTTAGTCCTGGTTCAGGCCTGGTTTATTCCTGGTTTAGGCCTGGTTTAGACTTGGTTTAGACCTGGTTTAGTCCTGGTTCAGTCCTGTTTTAGTCCTGGTTTAGTCCTGGTTCAGTCCTGGTTCAGTCCTGGTTCAGTCCTGGTTTAGTCCTGGTTCAGTCCTGGTTCAGTCCTGGTTCAGTCCTGGTCCCTCATGTCTCAGATCATTATAGGACAGTACTGCAGATATCATGAGCCTGTGCAGTTTGTTTTCACCATTGCCAGTAGCTCCGGTTTGACATTTGAGTTGTAGCTATTTTATATTTGTTATTTTTTTAATATCTCACATTGGGACAAGTGGGTGTACGGCGTAACCCCCACGTACCACGCTCACTACACGCCTGCTCTGTTCCTCCTTGTGATGTCATGAAGTGGTATTTTTCAAGTTAACAGCTCATTTTTATCTTTTGTCAAGTAGAAATGGGCAATTCCATGTCTGAAATCATCCAAACGATTCCTGTGAAGGTGTATGGAGTTTAAAACACAATGGAGCACTTCCTGTATTACCACATGAGATCACAAAATGGAACAGAGTGTTTCCTGTTAGAGGGAAGAACTCAGCCTGAATATGAAGAGTGTGTGAATGTGACGAGGAAACGACATTATAACATAACTCAGAAAATAGCGTAATATGGATCCTTTAAAAGTATTTTGTCGTACACTGAATTACGCACATTAAAATACCTTGAAAAACCGAGTGGGGTCACCTCTTCTTGCGTGTAGGGGTGTCACGTCCTTGTTTCCATGGAGATAGATAAATTTTAACGCCATAATTATACAAATCTCCAGGGAGACAAGCAAGTGACGCCTTTAGGAAGTGTTTTTCAAGCTATTAGTGAATTGTACAAACGTGTAGATGAGTAAACGCAACATACTGTGAGACATTCCAGTTAAAGCAATCACATTTCCGCGAAAACGAGCAGGTGACACATCTGCATCAGAAAAGTTAGAGCACGTTTAATGATCATGTCGTGCTTGATTTAAAACAGCTCAAATGCGAAAGTGAAGCAGCTCCGGTTGTGATATTTTGGAGACTATTTTTAAAACGTCCAGTCTGGTTTTTGGCTAAGCACTGGTCTAACCTCATTCACTTGCAGCTGGCCTCGAGTCCAGACGACCTCATGTATACTCCTGATTAAAATGCACACGCACACGCTCAAGCAGTTAGGGACAAAAGTCACTGTGCTGGTCTGAAATGAAACGGCTTCTCTCCAGCAGGGACACTGTTTACTTCGGGTTAGCAGGTGTTAAGTTCTCCAATTTCTCATCTGTTATTTTAGAACATCTCTGTCTGGTTCCTTGGCCATTTTCTTGGGACATTTTCTGTTAAAGGTGCACTGTGTGACTTTACGGTTGGGGGTCTGTCACCTGCTTCATCTGGAATGTTTTAACAGCTCTACCTTACATTTATTCAATTACAGGTGGTTTTATAGCTCAAAAATACCTAAAAACAAGCATTCTGAATGAGAACAGGGTTGCCTCTCCACAGA